GCATTTCCATTGAAGAAGAAAACAAAAAAGCCAAACGCGGTGTTTTGTGCTTGCTTCCTGTCCCTGCCTTCAGACAGGCAGGAATCCTGTGAGTTCTTAGCCGCACAGCCCCCACTGCCTCCATACTGGCCTTGGTCAGTGGTGACACTGTGTCTGCAGACAGCGCCGGTAGTCCCCAGAACAGCTCTTCCTCACACTTGTAATGATCTGGAGATTATGGCACAGGAAACGGCTTTGCAAAGTTTGCTGGTTTTGGGCAGGAGCTCTTAATTTTGTGACAAAGATGAACGAGTCTTTGGGGAGCAGTAAATCTATCTGGTGATATTAAAGGGCAGGTGACCTCTCTGTGGCTGGAGCCCTTGAAACAAAAAAGATTCTTTTCACCGTGCTACAAACAGGTTCATTCTTGGTCTTTTCTTGAATCACACTGCAGAGGAAACCTTAGCCTGACAAATCCTTAGGGTATTTCTTTATTACATACGCATCCTCTATTACTCATAAGTTCCTTTTACGATCTCAGTGGACATTAACACCTATTATTAAATAAAGCATTGTGAATTTCAGATAGTTTGTGTAAGACTTTCATTAAACCTCTTTAGGAAAACTTATTCCGTATCCTGGGGTGTATTTGGGATACTTTACCTTAGGATTCTCCCTAGTATAAATTAGAGTAAAATTTGCTTCTCTTTATGATTGATGTCTCAAAAAAAAAAATTTTATTGCATATAATAAGAAAAGAAGTTCCTAAGGGCAGAATAGTTTTATGACAATGGGAAGACCAGAACATACTTTAGAAAGAGAAGCAAAAGTGAAGTATTTGAGGAACTACTTAAATGAACATAGGTCAACATGCAGAAGTCTTGGACTAGAATACTTGAATGACATTACAATTTGAGGTTTCATAAAAAGTCAGTTCTTGCTAGCTTTACCAATTTCTTATCCAAGAAAGATTTCCATTGTTTTTTGTAAGATTTTTGACTGAGTAAAAATAATAGGATTTGCCTGAAAAAACACTGGAGCTGTAGATAAGCAGGAAATTAAGATCTGAATGTTCCACTTTTTTTAAGAGTTAAAAACTAAACCTTATGTGAATTTTGAGGTAGTCTATCTGCCATGTGAGTCAAACCAAACCTTCAGATCAGAACACCTGCAAAGAAGATTTGGAGCCAGAGCCTGTGGCTTAAGCCTTTCTTTGTTAATTGGTCCAAACAATAGCAGCAGCAATGTTCTCTGTTCCCAGCACAAGCTATTTGTGACAATGCCCTTTGTTAAAGAGATTGTTCAAGGGATGGTAAACTACTCTGCCAAGCTTTACTTATTGAGTCAAAAAGAATAAATCTTTTCCTGGCATTTTCGTTTACCTTGTAACTTAAAAAAGAGACATACAGGTATCCTTATAGTGGGAAGGAGAAGAAAAATTAACTCTCAGAGTATTCTCAGAGTTGAAAATAGAGCTGGATGATCACAGTAGAATCTTTCTCTTGGTGAAGTCAACATGAGTTTTTCCCATCAATTTTCTTGCAGACACCAGGAACATGTCCCATGTAGGGGTTTCCTGATAAGTGAATTTCAGCTCACTTCCCATATAATTACTTCTCCTGGTGATAATAAAATAGAAATGCCCTGAAATAAGAAACAGCAGCAGAGGTATCTCAGCAGTAGAGATGATGCTGTAATGTGAAAAATGTACTTTAGTTGTCCTGGATTTTAAAGGAGATATCAGATTACTGCTATTGATAGTGAGTGATAGATATATTTTCAAATATGTAATAATATTTTACTGATTGTGTTTAGATAAAAGTAAGCAGAAGATTTGATTTGAGGATGTTGTTCAGCTTTTGTTATGGACAGGTTTAGTCTGTTCTTTCAAGGCTGTAGGCACCATTACAATTTCCATACACTCTCTTAAGATTTCAGATATTAACTTTTTCTTCTTCTTCTCTTGCAGATACCAGCAATCCATTTGTAGAGATGCACAGTGATATACCTAAAATAATACACATAACAATGGGAAGAGAAATGATCATTCCATGCAGAGTCACAGCACCAAACATTGCTGTTACTTTAAAAAAGGTACCTCGATCCAAGCATGCTCTGAAAGATTCATTGTTGATTATGCTTTTGTTTCTTTGGTAGTTTACAACTATTCTGACGCTTCTGAAATATTTAAACAATTTAGTATTTCTTAAACAAGATTTCTGGGTGTCAGTGTGTTTAGAAATATTTCAGCCCTGGGGACTTCATCTCATATGTCACAGAAGGACCTCATTACCTCCTTTACACTGGATAAATTTTCTGAGTAAGCTTAAACTTTTCATACCATTTTATTACATTTTCACTGACAAAGATTTCTTTAGCCCAAGAAGTAATTTCTTGTTAGGACAAGAGATTTCCTCCCACCTCTTCCCCTGCCCTTCCTCCCCTTTTCTCTTCTCTTCTCTGGAACAACTGGGAAGTGCAGTCCCTGGATACCTACTGGGGGCTGTACAAGGATCTGGATCTTTGTGAGCCTTTGCCCTACCTCACTCCTACCAGTGGCTTTACTGCTTCCTTTTACATGCAAGTGAACTTACCAGGGAAGGGACGGCTTCACTTTGTATGCAGAGGTTGAGACAGTGAGGCTGGTTTATTAAAAATAGATATTTTTCATGTTTTGGGGAAATCATTTTATCCTAGGTGCTTTGAGAGCTACATGGACAGCTAACTGACATATCTGTATGTAGCGGAGTACCTGGTATCAAGATGGAGAATGGTGGGGGTTTTTTTAAGTTATTTTGTTTAGCATAAAAATTAACAAAGGTACCACTTATGTTTTCTTTCTAAATAAAGGGAGTTTTTACATAGTGGCATAGATGTTCATTGTTGTTACAAAGAAAATAAATTTGTCTTTTTATAGAATAATATGCAATTGTAAAATGATACCAACATAAGACACTTATCTAGGTCAATACAAGTCTTAGATTGCTCCTTGGCTATAGAATTTTACTCCAGCCACACATCTGATCCTGTGTTTTAACTTGAAGTAGAGGTTTAAAATTCTATCCAGTCCTGCTTTGCTAATATAGGTACAGATTTTGCCTCTTGTTTTCCACCTGTTAAATCACATTAAATAAAGCAAAATGCAGAGACAAGAAACTAATCTGGCCTAGGAAGTTACCTTATGTACACACACAGAGTTGTCCTGCAAGAAGTGCACTGTGTGGGATGACACACAAGATTCTGTGGCTATAGAATGAAAAGTAACTGAAGCTTGGCTTTGCATAGCATGGATGTTGTGAAGTGGGAACTTATCTGGGCTCTGTAGTTTTGCATCTGAAATCTCAGCATATTAAAGTCCTGAGTAAATTCCTGTCAGTCTTCTCTCTTATTAAACTATATAAAAAAATTAATTTTGTTTCTCCTTATTTGGAGGAAATTGAGATTTACTCTTTTTTTTTGCAAATCAACTTGCTTTTAGTTTGAGGTTGTGGTGTAAGGCACATCTTTCCACCATCAAAAACAGATGTGGTACTCTGGGAAGGAGAAAGATAAGGTGGTGTCTTGAAAGAAAGGACTGGTTGCTTACATGTTTTGTATTCTAGGAAAAATAAATGTTTTCCCTAATTAATCCCAGAATTTCCTTAAGCATGTAAGCTACAATGCATTACATCATATCTTTAATTATCATCTGTGACACCCATAAGTGAAGATTCCAGCAAGTTTTTGCTCACATAGCAATTAAGAGGTGTGTTAAATGCATTTCACAGCTGCAGACATACTACTGAGGAGCTGGCAAAAGCTATTCTGTGTTTTCCATTTAGTGATAAAGGAAGAAGTTGATGTTCCAATAATGCAATACTCTGGAACTGGAAAGAAACCCCCAGCATTAGAGTCATTAGGTTCTGTATTCTATACTGCTAGGAAGTAAAAATATGAAATACTTTTTGGCAATCTCTTCCATCTGAAAGGACTCAGTATAGTCGCATGACCATGGCCTCCAGCATTTTGTTCCTGTGCAGTGCTACTTCTTGATTTTAGTGGACTGATATGTGAAAGGTTTATTACCCATCTTCAACACTACAAGTAATTGTTTTATTAAAACTGCATCTTTACATTAGTCAACCCTTTTGAGATACTGTGTTGCTCTAACTTCCAGGCTGAACATCTGTACAAATTGTATTCTATAGCAGGACAATCATGTACAATGTAAGAAGAGTCTTAAAAATCAGGAAGCTAATAAAACAGGGATTGGGAAATGTTGGTTTGTTTTTTTTTTTTCCATTCTTATTTCAAATTCAGCCTTAAGGTTCTATTATAACCTGTACCTGCAACAGCTGATAGCCCTTTCTCTTCTTCATCTCTTCATCTTCTCACATTCTTCAGGAAGACCGATGAAATCAACAGATAGTTTTGATGTAATGCTTAATAGATAGATATTCAGAGCCTCTGAAACCATCATTCCTATTTGATTCTGGCAGCCTCATTCAAGATCCCGAAAACAAGATAAACTTTATTGCAACTCAAGTGTGCACTTCTCTTGCTTCTTCATTTGCCCTTATCTTGCTAAATGAAGAAAGCTTTTGGTACAATGGTTTGATTCCTTTTTTTATTCTTCTTTTGGATTCTCTGTCACCAATAACATTTATGGGAATAGAAGTAAATAAGCTTCAGCATAAGGAATAAAAAGAGGAAAAAAACCCAAGGATATTGAATCACACACTTGGACAGTCTGAATTCTTAATAATGCCACCTCGTCCTTCCCAAATTGATGGAAGGGGAAACATAAAAGAAATTACAAGCATTCAGAATTCTAATGTACATTTTTACTATACTTTTAGCTGTCTCTTTCCAGTACAATCTGCCTTTGGAGATGCGGGGAATCACAGCCTGACTATAGACTCTTGACCATATGCATATACTCAAAACCTGGTGGTGGTACTTTGGTAATGTTACCGGGTACCAAAAAGGTTCAGTGTTGGTGCTGAGCAAAGAAGGAGGCACAGTCTATACCGAAAGAAACTGAAGTCTAGTTTGAAATAAAATATAAAGAAGGTAAAAGACCAAGACTGCACCGGGAGGCACAGTGATGTGGTCCATGCAGATAAGTGTGTGTAGACAATAAATGTCATAGTTACTGCAGCTGACACATCAAATTGATTCTTTGAATGCCTCTGACTATCTGCTGGCACCCACCTGAAAGCTATTATTCTAGCTGGAGTTATCCTTTACTGTTTCAGCTGAAATCTCACTGTTCCAGCACAGTGTTTCTTCATACTTTTCCTACTATTCTCTGTGATGACCAAATGGCCAAGTTTTTTTACAAGGTCTTGAACTACATTGGCTGGGCTCTGCATGGGGGATGGACCAGGTGATCTCTAGAAGTCCCTTTCAACCTAGCTTATTGTATGATTCTGGGATCCTCTGTCCTGCAATATGCATGGAGTGATCACCACAGTGATGATGCTGAGTCTCTAGATGGTGGCCTGGAAGCTGGTTTAGAGCAGAGCAAAGCAACTGTGTTTCTCTGAGAGTGGGGAACAGGTCATCTGAAACACTGGGGTTGGCTGAGGAGAACAGCATGGAGGAGTACTGGGTAAGAAATAGATGTAAGTAAGGAGTAGAGGGTAGAGCTGTGAAGAGCTGTGAGAGTGAGCACCCAGCCACCTCCCTTATTCTTTTCTGAGACAAAATCCTGGTATTTCCACCCTCTGTAAGGGTCTTGTTGCAGTATCTTGTTTTTTCCCCCAGTGACATAGCCAGAGACCAGCTGTCTCACAGTGGTCTTCTGCTAGTCATAGACTTCAGGTTTTTAAAGTTTTCCTTACAGTAACTTAAAAGTGTTGAGTTATGCTTTCATGTGTGACTGCATGAAAATTGTTAATCTCAAAGCTGCAAAAAAATTACACCAAAAGATGTAGCCCTAGCTGGTTTTGAGAGGTTTCGGGTGATTAATCTGTGCAGACAAAGATCTGCCTCTGGGACAGGTGAGCCTGTTGGATATACAAATAATTCACAACACTAAGTGTTGCAAAATAGCATCATATTTATGAGTATTTTATTTACAAGACTCAGACACTTCCTTGGTGTTTTGGTTACTTTCCCATTGCTGGAGGAAATAGGCTAATACTAATTTAGTAATCCATCAATTAACTAAGTAATATGAAGTGAATGCGTTCCCTGGGAAATGTCAGTCTAGGGAGTCTCAGAGGCTCTGACTTGACTCTTTCTTCATGGTATACATGAAAAGCTACAGAGGAATATGCTCAGAAACAGTTTGGTTTCCACCAAAGCAGCAACAGGATAAATGTAGTTGGAGCCCTTGAAAGCATAACTGTGAACTGGTTAAAAGAAAGCTTGAATATTTGTTTTATTTAGAAGAAGAATGGCAACAGAGCTTTAAGAGTCCAAGATATTGTTGAATGATAGCCAGCAGCTGTAATGTAATGGGCTTTACTTGTGTGTGCGTGTAACACACATTTCCCCCGTGATTTGCATGCTTATTATAGCCTCTTATCAGCTGTTGTAAAGATAAGGAATTCTACCACAGCATTTTGTGCTCTGTAATTATTGTTCATCTTATTCATCATACGTTTCTGTTGGAGGAAATGGCATGAGATGAGTGGAGGTGATCTCAAGGGCAGCTTTTGGTGTGCGCTGAACAGGCAGCATTGAGGTTGACGAATTTTGGAGAGAAGCTGTACTGCACAGGAAGGTGCCAGGCAGCCACACTTCCCCCAGCCTCTGGCATCCACCTGTGCTGGCTTTAGCCATAAGAAGGAGAGGGCTGGCCAACAAATAAGTCATCTGGTCAAATAAAGGGAAAGAAAGAGATTGGGTGCACAATGTGAGGTGATGTGCAGCAAGGGGCTTAGTCAACCCAGAGATCTTTGCTAAGGACACTAATTCACTTCAACTCTGCTCTGTGCCACCTTTAAAAATATGCTATTTTTTACCATAAAAGCAGGCTTTATAAAAGTAGAGTCACATCTGTGCTTCGTACTAATAGATGATCTCTGTGTTATCCAAGCAATGGCATTTATTCTATTGACAAGGCATAACACAAAAACATGGTGTGAAAACAAATCTTGTCTGAACTCCAATGCCTATGTCATGCTTTGCCTTTTCAGGGTTTTCTTGATACCTTAATAAAATGAGGCTTAAAACTCAAAGGATCCTAATGTAAAATATTTTTGTACAGCTGACAAAGTGAACTCTGTATCCCTTATCACAATATTTTAGTCTGTATTAGATTTCAGGTCCTGAGTTTAAAAACATCTGATGGCTTTACACTAGTCACTTATTGGGTTGTCAGCTTCTGAGGGACTTAAAGTGCCTATTTTAAAAAAATGTGCTGAATGTATTTTTCTGTGGAAATGTGATGCATTTGTTGTTTCATGCTGTCCTTCCAATATCTGCAATCTGTGTGACTTTTCTCATTTAGTATGTTCAATAGTTCTCAGTTTGCTTTAAAATTTGCAGTTCACATTGTATGCAATGACTTAGACACGTGTACTCTATGACCTGTCAGCTTTGGGACAGCCATTCATATCCTTAATCTTTTCTTTAAAAAAAACAGTCCAGTCCTTTAGACAACATGAATGTGAGAAGCATCAGATTGAATCCTGGCAGGAATTTGTTAAAGCCATAAAAAGACAGTAAATTAAGTCCATTTGTCACCTCCACTGAAAAATGGGTATTTCTGCCTCAGTGGTGAAACCAGGATACTTAATTGCAAAGGTTTGCCAAGACGAGCACTTTATCTGCCAACCAGGAGCCAACAAAATAGCAGCCCAACTGCTGAGGCTAATGATAGTGTCAATCTATTGTGTCATAAATTACATCCTGTTATAAATAATGAAATCTTGGAAACAAATAAAACATTTCCATTCTTCACCCAGATTTTTCCTCTATTCTGTGGTGAAAATGAGACTTGGAAAATCAGCATAATTAAATGTCATCCTTTCTATTTTGATTGACATTTTTTAGGGTGTTTTTTTCACATTCCTTTTTATTAGGCTACTTTGATTAGAGAGTGGTATGAGGATGAGGGTTTTTTGATACATGTTTGACAGTTCCAGATTCCACGAGAAACCATAATTCCTGATGGCAAGACAATAATCTGGGATAGCATGAAAGGCTTCAGAATACCTAAGGCAACCTACAGATTCATAGGACTCCTGAGCTGTGAGACAACCATTGGTGGACACAAATATAGCACCAAGTACCTAACGCACCGAGAAAGTGAGTAGTGTCTCCACTCCCTGTCTTTTCATTGAGCACTCTGCCCTGGTGACATTACATACTTTCCTCTCTCTTTGTCACGTGCAGCCAACACAATTTTTGATGTTCAGTTAAGCACTCCACGTCTTGTCAAACTGCTCAAAGGAGACAGCCTGGCAATTAACTGCACTGTCACTGCAGCCTGGAACACCAGAGTGCAAATGACGTGGACTTACCCTGGAGAGGTGAGTGCTGTAGCGGCAATGGAGGAACTGGGGGCTTCCCATAGATCACACTGCATCTAGAATCCCGAGAGGAATTTTGCCTTAAAATGCTTGCTATGGTTTGCATTCTATCATTTTGACCCTTGCTGACATGTCTTTAAAGGTTTTTGGTTAGTTTTTGTTTTTTCTTTCTGGTGTTCAATTGAGTAAGTAAACATGTTTACACCATGGACTCTGGTTATATTGCATAACTGCAAGTGAACGCTAGAATTGTTTCATACATGGGAGCTTCATTTTGACCTGGAGAAATGGTAGAAATTTATCACCCGGTCCCAGGCAGAGGCTGTCTGTTGTGACAAAGAAGTTTTCAGCAAGGCTGTTTTTCTCAACATATCCATTTAAAAGACTGGCAGACAGTCAGGCACCTGACTGGAGTATGTTTAGGAGAGATATTTTGATTTAGCTGGCCAAAATCTCATTTGTTAAGTGTCATATGAACAATCCTCTTGTTTTGACAACTACAGGAATGCTCCTGAATGAGTTTCTCCTCCCCCCCACACTGGGAACATCCTCATAAATATTTGTCACTTACAGAGAAACTGCCAGGGATTCCGCGTAAAGCTGATAAGAAATTTGACATTATTTTAAGGTTTACAACTCCCATTCCTTTCATGTCAGTTTGATATATGCTACTGATTCAAGTCCAAATAATTTATTTTGTCACTCATTGTGTCTCATCACAAGCTGAAATTATGATTACATTATATAGGGAAGATTAATGTAATTGTTTCATGCATACTGTAGCCATTTTCCCTGGCACTTTTTCACCTCAGAAATAAACAACTTAGCAACAAGAAATTCTCCAAATATATTGTATTGCTCATTACCGCCTCACCAAGCCCTAGGCAAGCACCACAGTTGTGAAATTCTGTTTTATTTGGATGGTAACTGAAGGGTGCTCAGTGTTTATAAGACAGCAACAATGTCCTGGGTTAAATAAACTTTGAGGCCAAAAGCTGAGAGGGAGTTGCAGGAAATAACTCCTCAGACTCACATTATCTTCGGTTCCACCCTGTTATTCTCTTGTTGAATCTAGTCCCTTTTCTGTCTATAGGGTTTCCATGATTCTCCCCTTCTTGTGTTATTGCCTCTGTCTAATTGTCTGCTGCCTATGGACACTGAACCCAGGCACCAAACTCTGTGCCAGTGGCTCCGGGGAATGCTGGACAAGGCACAATGGGGAGCTGGGCATGTTGGTATGGCAGGCCGTACAGAAGGAATAATCTTCATCTGGAAAGAACTAGTTTGGATGCTATTACAGCTTTGGTGAAGAAAGAAATGACTTGCCATATGATGTTACTTGTCGTTTTTATTGTTGACGCTCTGGACATGTTAGACTTCTTTTGCATGTCTGTGCTGTATAGAGTGATATGGATTTTTTAATTAAGATATGGTGGGAGTACAGTAAGATAAAAAATCTTGATAATCATGAAAATCCATTTGATTAAGCTCTTTGTTGTTCATTTTTGCTTTTCTAGGCAAGGAAGAGAGGTTCTGTAACGCAGCGCATTGACCAGAAGAATACAGAAGCCAATATTTTTTACAGCATCCTTGTTGTTGACAGAGTGCGTGATATTGATAAAGGCCAGTATACCTGCCACGTGAAGAGTGGGCCATCAATCAAAGCAGTTAACACAACAGTCATCGTTTATGGTAAGGAGTGTTGCAGATTTGTAGAATCCTGAATGCCCATGTACCAAGTTCAGTCATACAATAGCTTTACATCTTGACACAAAGTGGAAGTAAATGTATAGCACGTTCATCACAGGTAGAAGAAGGAGGGAGACCAGAGAGAATATGTGCCTTTTCTTCCATGACTGTTTTGTACTGGTGGCATGTTAATGTTCAATTTGATCACTCTTGTCTGCTAAATACTATGATGACCCTGTCCTCAGTCAGTTGTGGTAGAAACAATCAGTTAAACTATAGTTTGGAGCAAAAAAAAAAAAAAAAAGAAAAGTACAAGCTGAATTTAAATAGAAGAATCCCACTTCCTTTTCTGCAGTACTTACTGTTTTCAATGAAAAATGAAGCTCTACAAGTACAAGATACTGCAACTCATTATTAGTATGCTTTTACAGTGGGAGCCTTAAACGAGTTCCCTATGGTCTGTGTTGGCCTTCTCTGCAATCTGGAAATTTCTACTGTTATTCTAAATTTATTTGAATTAGGACTTTTGTGCACTGAGACATTACGAGAAGCTAGTTTTTAACGGCATCCTGTTAGAATTAGGACTATGCAGGATCTTTGGAGTGTCATTGGTATTAAAGATCAAGTGGTTAGTGGATGTCCTCTACAACAGATAACTCATGGTCAGAATATTGATTTGTTCTTTGTTTTCAGTGGTCTACCTTTTCTGCCTTGTCTGGAAGTTTGGGCTAGGCACCCTACCTTAGTATTCTTAAAGAGTATTTCAGTCCATATCCTCTATTTAAGCCCTGGACTGAATCACTGGGAGCACAGGATGAATCATGATATGATATCCACTTATTATATTCCTAAACAGATAAGATGAAGCTGTCAGAAACAGAGTTTTAGGTTAAAATTAAAGTCAGAGAAGCTGGAACTGTTGAAGCTAGCCTATAAACTCCTATTCACATGAGCATCCCTATCTATATCTATCCCTGACCACTATTAGAAAGAGCCTATGTGAATAAGTGCTTGCAGAATCAGGGTTGTATCCTTATAACCTTTGTAGTAAAACTAATGATTTATCTTGTGCATGCTACATTTAATGTATGTGCAAGTGTGATTAAATATTGCAGTTGATTATTAAATATCCAACATCCTTATCCTTATGCAGCCCATAACAGAGTAAATATTGCACCATATCAAATAGACAGTCAAACGACTTTTCATATTTTGAGTGTTTTATTTGGCTCAAGTGCAATTTGAGGGGGAATAAAAAAAGATATTTTTCAATGTATTATATAAATGTTATGTTTTACTGCCTCTGGTAAAACCCATCAGCTTGCCAGAGACTTTGAAATATGGGGCTGTACAACTGGAAAAGAACAAATTCCAACAGGTTGAGATTGTTCCAATGAAGTGATAAAGATTTGTTTGTTTGGTGAAACATCTGTTTACCAATGATACAGCAAGTTTCTGCCTTTTCCTTTGCTGTTTCTCTGAAGGTCCCTTAAATCCGCTCTGGCAGAATATTTTCTTTTGGAACATTCAGTGATTCTTGGCCTTTAGGAGTGAAAGGGTCATCTGATCATCTACTTGTTTCCTATGTACCATGAAACACCTTATCTCTTGTGCCTCTTTTTCTAATTGAAGCACAATGTGAATTTGGCTAGAGTGCATCTTCTCCAGGCAGATTTATGGCCTGGGAACTGTATCACAATTTTTTAGTGTATTTCTGATATTCCTTTCTATATTTCATAGATCTCTAGGAGATTCCACTTTACTCTTGCTGTTGCCATGTGGGAACACCAAAATGATTAAAGATAACTTTTATTTGGATTTGTGTTCTTTTTAGTAGAACAACTCTTTTGCAGGCTGAAAATCAATAATACAATTCACTGGTTTTGTTTAAGATAAAATGTTCATTAATTTGAAACGTCGAAGAAAAACTGCGCTGGAGGCTGTAGCTGGAAGAAAATCCTATCGTTTGTCAATGAAAGTGAAGGCGTTTCCCTCTCCAGAGGTTATATGGTAGGTAACAGTTACCTAAATAAGAATTTTTTTTTGTAAAATATTCAAATAAGACCCCTTGAAATGGCAACAAAATGGAGATAATACAGTTGTGGAGTTTTATTGGAAGTTTCAAGGTTGTCTTGGGTTTTAACAATTTATAAGAATATTATTTCCGTTTTGCAAGTGCAAAAAAGGAGCTCTGGAAAGTTTAAAGTTCATAGACTCAAATATGTTAGATGTCTCCTATTTAAATCAATTGACACTCTGCAGCTAAAGATCTTTACCAACCATGGCTGAAATGTTGCATCCAACTTCACTCAGATCTAGACATGATACCTGAACTTACTTTACAGATAGTAGGAGAAAGTAAATAAGGTTTTCATTAAAATAACCGTTGAGTCATGCAGACATGCACTGTTAGAAAAACAATGAAAGTTTATTTTGTTATATGGTGATGCGCAGGTTGTAGATCTATTTTAGTGACTAGAGCGTTCACTTTGACTCATGTGTACTCTGCTAAAAAATCTTTTGAACAGTTTTTTTTGTATTAACCCAACTACTTTTATATAAAACAATGTTATCTATTCATGATCTCAAGGGCTTTTTTGTTTAAATAATTTTAAACACCAGTAGCTTTGGCACAATTCATTGCACTTTAACAAAGCGTCTATGACAAGACTGATTAAGAAAACAAACCATACATACATGAACAGTGAGAGTTCATGTTACTCACAGACAGAAATTACTTTTGCTCCAAACACCGTGTTTTGTTTTACAAAAACTTATAGTTCCACATGGAAAATTAAGAGGCAAAAGTGGAGACAGCACTAGCCATTTGCTACAGTATTTTCTGTTTCTATAGTGGTTGAGCTTGTTGACTACACATATAGATCCAAAATTTCTGAAATACAAAAAAATCCACTTATCCAAAATCCATATCTCCACTTATCATTGTGAGACTAATGAAACACTGGAACAAGCAGTCCAGATAGGCTGTGGAGTCTCCATTCTTGGAGATGTTCAAAACCAGAATGAAAAAAGTCTTGGGCAACCTTCTGACCTTGCTTTGAACAGGGGTTGGACTAAACAATCTCCAGAGGCTCTTTTAGCCTCAATTATTTTGTGGTTTTGTAAAATATAGTTACAGTGAAATGCTTAAATCCATAGTCCTTAGACCAAATTTTTAGTGTTCCTCTAATAACAGTAAGTTTTCTGTAAACACTTAGCAAAAACCTGTGAATCTTTTTAATCAACTCAATCTTCATAGTGAAAATCTGTTGTACTTTGCTACTACTGTCATGTCAATGTTCATACAGCAAACTACTAAAATATTCTTTATGCTGCATTTTTAAACTTAGAAGAAAAAATATTGTGCTGCTTCAGGAATCTGTGTGAGCAAGTTAGTTAGATTTTCTGTTATCTTTAAAAACATTCACTTGATAGCAGGATATCTGATTCTTAAGTGCTTATCTAATCTACTTACTCTTCCTCTTCCTAAAATCACAGCTGTGCTTAGACTACTGTAATGCTTTGTCCCAGGATGTATTCTGAGGTCATAAAGAAATGGTTGGTGCTGGATGATGCAACCTTTATTGTGTGAACAACTTAGCCAAAATGCTTGTCTTCTAGACTAAATGGTGGCACAAGCATGGAAATCTGGGATCTTCAGGAACAGATTTGCAATTTTCAACAACTTTCAAATACTATAGAGCCCAGTCAGATCCTTATTAAGTTTAATATATGGAACGGTGTTTTCCAAAGTGCTTTATAAATATCAGCAGTCTTACTTGTAAGAGAAGGATGAGCCTCTGGTAAACAGAATCTCAAGACTGTAAATTCAATCCTGGCCCAAAGATTGAGATATTGTGAAAAGAAAGCAACATTATTTTTCAAAATTTTGATTTCTGGAATTCTTTTAAACAGGTTAAAAGATGGGCTACCTGCTGCTGAAAAGTGTGCCCGGTACATGGTTAAAGACTATTCATTAATCATTAAGGATGTTGCTGAAGAAGATGCTGGAAACTACACCATAATACTGAGCATGCGACAGTGGAACTTGTCTAAGAATCTTACAGTCACTCTTAGAGTAAATGGTAAGTTTGAAGAATGTTCCCATGCTTCTCGTGAACATACAAATGCTGAATTTTCACTGAGCTAGATTTTCATTGCTCTTGCACAGTTCAGGTCATTGTGAGTTTTAGTACTGACTTTCATGGGCTCAGATCCTATCCCCATATGCAGGGTGAGAAACATTTTGGAATCAGAAGATGGACACTCGTTTTCCTTAGAAGGGTTTCTGTCTTCCATGATCATGTACTTGTTCCTGATGACTCAAATGTGTTAGTAACTGCTCATCTGACTTAACTTAGGCCTATCATTTTTCTATGTTCTCCTAGGGATCTTTCTTATTACTCATCCTGCAGGAATGTAGTATTTTCACGATCATGCAATACACTAGAAATGAGCTGGGTTTAATTGCTTTCCAATTTTTACCCTTTACAGTGAAACCCCAGATATATGAAAATGCTGTGTCATCATTCCCTGATCCCAATCTGTATTTACTGAACAGCAAACAAGTGCTGACATGCACCGTGTATGGTATTCCTCAACCTAAAATTATGTGGATGTGGTACCCCTGTAGACAAAACCATTCTAAAACAAGGTAGGACAGCTTCCTCACTTCTATTTAGCATGTGTCCCTTTACTATTACCTTTAAATATTTGCTTTTTTACAAGAATAAATCTTAACATGATCATTGATTAGTTAGTAGAGTTTATATACTTTTAATCAATGTATTTTTTAGTAAGCATATAGGCACAATGCAATTTTTTCTGCATCCTTATTTGAAAATGGAGGGCAAAACTGTTATATTTTTTTATTCCTATTTAGGTTTATTTGTAGTTCACTACTATTAATGCATTCAATGTCCAGAGGTGATAATTAATTCTTAATGTTTATGATGGAAGGCTTGCAGACAGTGTCTTCCAAAGTTCACACGCTTTTTCATGGAGATCTCCACGCTTTCCTCGTGGGTGGCTTCTTTTGAAATTCAACAGAAATGATCTGGAAGGCTTTTTCTATTATGAAAGTCAAGTCTCTCTTACAATACGTTGACTCATAGATTCAGTTCAGGAACCCAAATGTGCTCAGCATTCTCCAGATGATATTTCAACAGGGTAAAATATAAATGGCATCATACAAGCATACTTGATGCTGATGTGGCACTTAACTAATCCTTTTCTATATTTAAGCTTTCTTTTGAACTCTCTTTCTTTTGATTACAAGTTTGTGTGTTGACTCATTTCATCATGAAATCTGACACAATCTTAATGATTAACACTCAACCTCTGCAATGGCATTAGCATTAAGCTACTATCAGAGGGTTCAAACATGCAAGGTATTTGGATCACAGCACAATGAAGATATTTAAAAACCTAACTAAAAGTTTAGGAATCCACATTTTCTCAGTTTCAGTTGTAGGTAATCACTTTATGTAAGTTCTAACTTCTTTAGCACTTTTATAGAATTGGGGTTTAGTGTCAATCCAGCCAAACATTTAAGTGCATCCAGCCAAACATTTAAGTGAATACTTAACTGATGGGTCACAACACATGTCATTCAATTAAATAGGACAAACAGATTATTTCAAATTAAGGGTGCTTGTAAGTGCTTTGTGATCAGTGAGAGAGTGGTCAGCACTTCCTGGAACCACACATAGTTATTCCAGTTATGCCTTGCTTTGGGATTATGCTAATGGCTGGCTTTCTGTGCCCTTCTCACCAAGAGGTGGCACTAGCAATCTCTCCTTTGCTGGAATAGGTATAACCTGAAATTCTCCATTTCAAGGACAGGTGAGGCCTGCATTTCCTCTGCCTGTTGTGTTACTTTTGAAGGACAAGTCACAACATCCTGACCATTAATTTATTTCTGCTTATAGGTGCAAGGTGTGAGAGAAAAGAGATCACAGTACCTCTTAAGTAGAAACGCTGTGAAAGGCATATAAGAAAAAATTTCAGTCTTTTAAATTCTTTCAAGTATTTATACAACTATGCATAGGCTGGCTTGAAATCACAGTGCAGCACTGATGAAATAGTTGGTTCTTCTTTGGGAATTGGAGTGGTGCTTGTCCATTGTCAAATATTTCCTTCTGTAAACAAGCACAGATCTGCACTCCAGCACAGTAGAGCATGTCATCAGAAATAGAAATGAATATCTGCAAGCAGGTGTTTAATAATGTGCTAAACTGTAGACTCAATTAAATGCTAATTAGAAATGTGTTTGAGCAAGTGATCAAAGGAGAAATGTAACGATTTGAATGAGCTATTGGCTCTGGTACAAGGTTGTTTCCAGACTTGCTTCCAAATTGCCTTTGTAATTGTTCTGTGACCATTCTCTTTAACCCCCTCCCCTTCCTTCTCCTTTAAATGCTCATTGAAGAAATAGTCTGAAGAACATAACTTTTAATGCTTTGCCTCAAAGGAGTGGAATGACTCCCTCTGAATAATATAGTGATGATTAACTATGGCAGAAAAGCAGAACTACTTGAGTAATTACATTTTATCTCCTGCTCCAGGAAAGGAGCAGAGTGGACTACCTCTGCAGCTGGTACACCTTGCTCAGGCTGATGCCTGTGCCTGTTCAGGCATTCTCCTTGAAGAGCTGAAGAACCCTTTAATCCCACCTATTTCACTATATTTTCCTTTTTGTGTCAGAAGAGATTTGCCTAAACAACAGATTTAAGGTGTGGGTGCCTTGTGCAGCAGATAAAAAAAAAATGTATTTTATTCTGCCATTACAGTATTTCTTTGGCTTTACCTACCCAGTGTTAGGTTTTCAAGGCTAAAATGTTGCTCTCTTAATGCTCAACTAGTGCCTATTTCTGTGTACAGATGTACTTCGTACCCTAAATTGATAACCCCCCACAGGTTACCATTATTCAGTGTATGGCAGTAGGGATTTTCATCAAGCTTCTGAGTCCCATGCCATGGGGCAGAGCATGCATGCTGAGCAAAAAGATGCTGTTACTGCGAAGATCTTGCAGTGTACAAATGTTTTTTGCTCCCAGATTTATATATGTACTTAAACTTCACCTCACTTGAGTACTATCGCTGCAAGATGGGGAATAAAGCATAGTGCATAAATTAGATGGTTTCATTTTTGAAAGACTGTTGCCTATGAGTTCCTTAATAGGAACTATTAGGTTATCTGGCTGCTTCTTTTAGTTTCTGTTCCAGCTAGTATTTCTGTTCCAAAAAGCTAAAAAAACCTCAGTGGATTCCGCTGCTTTTAAATAAAATGCAGATATATTTTAATGCTTTGTAATTAATTCCATCAATTTGCATAGCTCTCCTCTCTACATCATTCAGGCCAGTCAGAGGAGGGTGGCCAAATTAAACAATTTTCATAGTTTCCTGGGAGCAAATTAAAAACCAAACAAACAAGCCCACAACAGTAACAACAACAACAACAAATGCTGTAAACTTGTTCAACAAAATTGACTTTTTGGAGTGTCGAGAGACCAACATCATTAAAATTCCCTTTCTGCTAAAATTACTTTGCTTGGACCAACTCTACTGCCATTGATTAACCTTTTGTTAGCTAGCTAGGTAACTAAATGGATTTAGTTAGATGGAAACATTCTCTTCCAATGTTCACCTCAGCAAGGTGAAGACATAGAAGAGTCAAGGAAAACTGTCTAGGGCAAAAAGAAATGATTGGGTTTTTTTTAAAGCTTATGCAGAGCTAGTAAATTCAGAGATGCAGGCAAAAGATAGCAGAAGATGCAATGACAGTTAAAATGGAATTAAAAATTAAAGATTAATTTTTCTTAAATGACAGCGAAACGTCTTTTCAAGTGCTATCTTATATCTTACTCCAGCTTACTCTGCTGCTCTGTACAGGCTGGGCAGCTCCCAGTTGCTTGGTATATATAGCAGAAGACAACTTGTGGGACACTTGTCCTGCAGTGTTTACCAGCCTCCTTGACCTCTTCCCTACCACCCAGGAGTTATTCTTTCTGGCCTCATTTTTGCTTAGGTTGGGTTGTCAGCAGAGTGGCAGTCAGAGACAGGGCTTGCCAAGGGTCTCCAGATCCAGCCAGACTGAGCTCCACCTAAAACTCATCAGCTCTGAGGCTGCAGAATGAGTGTCTGCAAACCAGGAATGTGCTTCATCTTAATGGTTCTTGACCTAAATCTCTTCAGCATATTTGTGTTTTTCTTAAACTGGTCTGGCAGAGGTTGCTGAGAAAGGCACATGAGATACTGATATTGTTCAGTAGGAGCACTGGTTTCCTCAGCAGTTGTGCAGTGTTGTTTGGGGGCGGTTTCTCTCTCTGGATGTTTCCATGTGTGCAGTTCAATAACGATCTGCATCATGCTCTGCCCAGGATTTGACCAATTGGCCCATCAGAAACTGCAGACAGATACAGCACTGAAATTTTACCTTGGGTGTCCCAGGTCTATCGCCGCCTCTCTGTCTCCCTCTTTCCTTGAGCGGTCAGTTTTGTTTAGCCTGAGACCAAACGTGGGGTTATTATTTTACAACCCTGTTGTCACTTCAGTCTGCAGCTTTTTGGCTTTTGGGTTTTTTCTAAGAGGGAGAAAGAAACATGACAGTGTGGCCTTCCAGTATCTCAGGGGGGCCTACAAGAAAGCTGGGGAGGGACTTTTTAGGATATCGGGTAACAACAGGTCTAGGGGGAATGGGGCAAAGCTGGAAGTGGGCAGATTCAGGCTGGACATGAGGAAGTTGTTCTTCCCCATGAGAGTGGTGAGACCCTGGAATGGGTTGCCCAGGGAGGTGGTTGAGGACCCATCCCTGGGGGTCTTTAAGGCCAGGCTGGATGAGGCTCTGGGCAGCCTGATCTAGTGGGAGGTGTCCCTGCTCATGGCAGAGGGGTTGGAACTGGGTGATCCTTGTGGTCCCTTCCAACCCTGACAGATTCTGATCTGTTTTAGCAGAGGACTTTAGAGCCCTAATGGCTCAATGGTTGGACTTGATGATCTTAAAGGTATCTTTCAGCCTAAAGGATTCTATGATTCTATTATGGCACATATGAAAACCAAGTCACTAGAAAAACTAGCAATTGATTACTTACCTCCTTGATTACAGTATCAGGTTATGAACTCTTCTTGGTGGTAAAATCACCTGGATGCTGGGACTGGGAATGAAGAGCTGAATATATGAAGCTGAGGGCAGGAACAGGCAGCAGAGACCAGGGGCTGTGCAACAATGCCTATGCTGGTACTGCTGCCAAAGAGCTAATCTCAGGAAACCACAATGTTGTAACACTCTGATGTGTGGGGGTCCTCACTGAAATCACTACTAATTTAACACAGTGATAAGAAGGGAGTATTACCTCCCTTCAAGCCTTGTCTGCAGTGCACAAGTAGGGTCATGTGAACGATTTCCTACAGAAATACCTCACCAGCACTACAGAGGGAGGAACAGAAGCATGTCATGGATCTCAGCGAAGCAAAACCCAGAGGTTTTCCTTGAAACTTCTGCAGATATATAAAGCCTGAATCTACCACAGTGAAAGTGCATGGCCAGGCTCCCACCAGCTTCAGTGAAAGAGGAGGCAGGCCGTGTGTGCATAGCAGTCTAATTGCATTTTTGCATTGTTTGTGTCAGTGTATTAATAAGGGATTGAAAGGCAG